ACGTGCAGGAGGCAGAGTTCCCCCCACCCCTCGCACCCCAAATTCCCGTCAGCATCTAGGTACTGGGAGCAGTGCCTTGGGAAACTGAGGCACGCACCCGGGGGTTATGAGACAGCAGAACTGTCCCACGTGCAGGAGGCAGAGTTCCCCCCACCCCTCGCACCCCAAATTCCCGTCAGCATCTAGGTACTGGGAGCAGTGCCTTGGGAAACTGAGGCACGCACCCGGGGGTTATGAGACAGCAGAACTGTCCCCCCTGGCACCAGCCCCAGAACCCAGCTCATCTCCTAAGGACGGTTAGACCAAAGGCTCAACTAACCCCAGGGTCCTGTTTTCCGACAGCGGCCAATGCCAGCTGCCCCAGAGGGATCACATGACCCCTCCCATCACCCATTCCCAGATAAACAGACTCGAGGGATACCTTCCCTGCCCGTCCTGGCTAATCGCCATTGATGGACCTATCCGCCATGAAGTAATCTAGCCCTTTTTTCAACCCTGTGAAAGCCCTGGCCTTCACCACATCCCCCGGCGAGGAGTTCCACAGGTCGACAATGCGCCGCATGAAGAAACACCGTCGTCTCCTCTTTTCTACGTCGAAACGTTCCCATTTTTTTAAATCTCTCCTCATAGGGGACCCGTTCCAAACCCCTCCGCATTTTTCTTGCCCTTTTCTGAACCTTTTCCCACGCCAAGAGAGCTTTTTTGAGACCAGGCGACCGCATCTGTAGGCGGGATTCAAGCTGTGGGCGTCCCGTGGATTTATACAGAGGCGATAAGGAATTTTCGGTCTTATTCTCCATCCCTTTTTTAACGATTCCTAACGCCGTTTGCTTTTTTTGACGGCCGCTGGGATGTTTTCAGAGAACTCTCCACAGTGACTCCCAGCTCTCTCTCGAGTCGTTGTCGCCAAATTCGTCCCCACCGTATTCTAGGTCTAGCTGGGATTCTTTTTCCCAACTTTGCATTCATCCGCATTAAAATCACGTCCAATTTTGCTGCCCAACCGCTTAGCTCAGTGGAAGGGACCATCACAGCTCAGAGGAGACCCCGAAACCAAGCGCCCAGCGCCACCGCGAGGCTGTGTGTGTAGCGGTGCGTGGTGCACATTTGCACATGCCTCGGTGCGCGGAAAATTATTCCGCCCGGGGTGGGAAAAGATTAGGGGGAACATTGGCCAGCACGGTGTTTGTGCTCTGCTCCCTTCCTGACTGGTAGAAAAGTCCAGAATATCCTGACGAGAAGCTGCCTTTCTAATTGAGCTTTACGAACTCACGACAGGTGTCGTGAAAGCAGCTACACCGGGGCTAATTCCTCTGCTTCGTTCACCCAAGAACTAGGGGCCGCTCAGTGAAATTAGCAGACAGGAGAATTAAAGCAATCCAAGGGAGGATTTCTGCGCACACCGTGCGGCGTTAACCTGTGGAACTCCTTGCCAGGTGAAGGCCAAGGGTTCGGAAATCTAACCAAATCCATACATGCAGTCCCGGCACCTCCAGTCAGAGCTTACCTGGAAAGAAGGGAGCGTACCAGCACCTCTGTACACAAACGTCCGACAGTCTGCTGGGCTACGTGTCTTAAAGGGGCCGTGTCTCTTAAAAGGGCAATGCTGGCCCCACCTTTTTTTTTTTTGCATGCATGGTAGGCAGATCCAGAATGGGCAGGGATGTGTCCCTAGACTCTGCAAAAAGTTGGGGATGAGAAGCAGGGATGAGAGGAAGTTCCCTCCCTCTGGCGCTCCTGGCCTTGGCCACTGAGGGCAGACAGGATGCCGGGCTGGATGGGCCTTTGGTCTGACCCAGTCTGGCCGTTCTTGTGTCTCCCTCTGAATCCCCAGGGCTTCCGATACCCGCCGGGACAGGAATCCTCACCCAGCCAGCTCACAGCCTCGTAATTCTCCCGCATCACGTCCCTGTAGAGGGCTCTCTGGCCCGGGTCCAGTAAGGCCCATTCCTCCTCAGAGAAATACACAGCCACCTCCTCGAAGCTCACCGGCTCCGCCACGGCCATCTCCTGTCCCTGGCTCCGCAGGCCACAGGTCGAACTGGAGCAAACGAGGATCGTATTCTGCGGCCTGTCAGGGTGAGAAAGGCGATGGGGAAGGTTTCAGATGGGGGGTTACTCCCTTTCACCCCCCCGATTCCCCTCCCCAACCTGATTCCTGCCCTGGCAACAGCCACCCCGTCACCATGCAGAATGCTTGATCCAGAAAGTGACACACACACAGTTAAGTTCCAAATGCACAGTTGTCTCCAGCCCCGCCCCCTCTACCTGAGGCCCTGCCCCTTCTGCTTTGCCCAGGGGGCTGGCAAGTCTGTTGGCCTCCCTCATTAAGTGTATCTCTTGTGAAACTTCCCAAGAGTATGCAGGGTTGTGAAGTACAGAACCACTACCTGTTCTTAGCATGAGGAAGTTATGATGCTCTATGGAATTTGGGGGACACTGTAGAATGTTATGAATATCAACTGTAACCCTCTCTTTCCTCCCTGGGTTACTTGGGAGCAGGCAATGCTCACCTGTGTGCCTGGGCACCTGATGTTTTTAACATTAAAGGAAATCCTGAGTATCCCCAATCCACTGCTTTGCTGTAGTCCCTTGCTTCTAAAGGAACATAAAATGGTGGTGCCTCTACCTGGCTGGCCCCGGTACACACTTAATGGTGCGCCTTAGGAGCTTCCAGGAATAAACTTATTCCAGAAATAATCTGGATTTAACTCCAACAATTTTAAATAATATGCACCTAACTGATTAAATTAGAATTAACACACCTGTACTTAACCACTTAAAGAAACAGGGTTTAACAGACGGAGATTGAATAAAATCAATTAACAAAGTAAACAGAAATAAATGAAACTTATCTAATTGGCATTTACACTGTGGGCCCCGCACCCCCTGCACCCCAATTCCCTGCCCCAAGCTCCCTCCTGCCCCCGCCTCCCTCCTGGGCCCCGCACCCCCTGCACCCCAATCCCCTGCCCCAAGCTCCCTCCTGCCCCCGCCTCCCTCCTGGGCCCCGCACCCCCTGCACCCCAATCCCCTGCCCCAAGCTCCCTCCTGCCCCCGCCTCCCTCCTGGGCCCCGCACCCCCTGCACCCCAATCCCCTGCCCCAAGCTCCCTCCTGCCCCCGCCTCCCTCCTGGGCCCCGCACCCCCTGCACCCCAATCCCCTGCCCCAAGCTCCCTCCTGCCCCCGCCTCCCTCCTGGGCCCCGCACCCCCTGCACCCCAATCCCCTGCCCCAAGCTCCCTCCTGCCCCCGCCTCCCTCCTGGGCCCCGCACCCCCTGCACCCCAATCCCCTGCCCCAAGCTCCCTCCTGCCCCCGCCTCCCTCCTGGGCCCCGCACCCCCTGCACCCCAATCCCCTGCCCCAAGCTCCCTCCTGCCCCCGCCTCCCTCCTGGGCCCCGCACCCCCTGCACCCCAATCCCCTGCCCCAAGCTCCCTCCTGCCCCCGCCTCCCTCCTGGGCCCCGCACCCCCTGCACCCCAATCCCCTGCCCCAAGCTCCCTCCTGCCCCCGCCTCCCTCCTGGGCCCCGCACCCCCTGCACCCCAATCCCCTGCCCCAAGCTCCCTCCTGCCCCCGCCTCCCTCCTGGGCCCCGCACCCCCTGCACCCCAATCCCCTGCCCCAAGCTCCCTCCTGCCCCCGCCTCCCTCCTGGGCCCCGCACCCCCTGCACCCCAATCCCCTGCCCCAAGCTCCCTCCTGCCCCCGCCTCCCTCCTGGGCCCCGCACCCCCTGCACCCCAATCCCCTGCCCCAAGCTCCCTCCTGCCCCCGCCTCCCTCCTGGGCCCCGCACCCCCTGCACCCCAATCCCCTGCCCCAAGCTCCCTCCTGCACCCGCCTCCCTCCCGGCCCCTGCACCTCCCTGCACCCCAATTCCCTGTCCCGAGCTCCCTCCTGCACCCCCACCTCTTCCTGCCCAAGCCAGAGCATTGCCCCAGGAATGAAACAGCCCCGCTGCCGGAGCCTAGGAGGTCCAGTCGGCCCAAATCCGCAGGCCGGCTGTGGGTGTTCCTTGTGCGGCGTTAAGCACCGGCTCTGCGGCAGCGGCCCCCCTACGCTGGGCGCCTCCGGATTAGTGGCGCGCCCACTGCCGGCCATGTGTCTTTCCAGGGGTGGTGCACATCCCCGGCGCACGGAACAAAATTGGTTCCGCACGCGGACGGAAACAACTGGGAAGGAGCCCGGAAAAGCCGGCCGCTCCTGCGCTCCGAAGTTGGCCTGTGAAGCGACAGGACCTTCCGTTTCCCTCCCACCCTGCCCCCCAAATCGCCTGCCCCGAGCTCCCTGGGGAACCCATCCCGGTACGTCACCCCCCCCTTTCGATACGGTCTCCCACACTGTTCTAGCCAGCGAGTTCAGGGCGTCTGGATCGGATACACGGACGGGAAGGGGGCTAGAAAGCTGGCTAGACTGTCAGGCCCAATGGGTAGCGATCAATGGGTTCTGGGCAACGTTTTCATGAATGACACGGAGGGGACGGATTGCACCCTCAGCGAGTCTGCGGATGACCCTCAGCCCGTGGTCCCCAACCAGATGGTTCGGCGGGCGCACATAAATGCCCTGGCGGGCACCACGGAGACCACTGCCCTAAGCTATGGGGAGAGGTAGATACATTGGAGGGCAGAAGTAGGGTCCAAAGTGGCCTAGACTTGTGTTTCTCCACCAGGGGTACGAGTACAATTGGGGGCACTCGAGGGACGTCTGGGGGGGGTCCGTCCACACCAGTGAAATGTGCCGAAAACGGAATTTTTGTTCGACGTTGGCCAGCGTTTTTATTCTGTGTGTCCTTTTTGCACCCAAGAACGTCACCGAAGTTGTGTAACCCAAAGCGTGGCGCTGGTAGAACCAAAAAATTGTGTGTGTCTCAAAACCGCCGGCACTGGGGGTACTTTGAGGGACGTCTGGGGGGGGTCCGTCCACACCAGTGAAATGTGCCGAAAACGGAATTTTTGTTCGACGTTGGCCAGCGTTTTTATTCTGTGTGTCCTTTTTGCACCCAAGAACGTCACCGAAGTTGTGTAACCCAAAGCGTGGCGCTGGTAGAACCAAAAAATTGTGTGTGTCTCAAAACCGCCGGCACTGGGGGTACTTTGAATTTTTTTTTAAAAGGAGGGACTTTCTAAAAAAAAAAAAAAAGTTGAGAACCACTAATCTAAACCCTTATTCCGCAGCTTATTCCGGAAAATCAGTTCCCAAACTGGGGGACATGCCCCCTTGCAGGGGGGTGGGGGGGTGTGAAGAAATCCCAGGGGGGCGGGGCGACCTAGCCACACACCCCTGTCAATCCCATCCAAAGTTTGCTGCTCTTTTTTGGGGAGGAGGGGCGTGACGATGTCTCAAAAATCAAAAAAGAGGCATGATCCCGAAAAGTTTGGGAAGCACTGAGACAGGTTAGAGGATTGGGCCAAAAGAAATCGGATGAGGTTCGACACGGACAAGCGTAGAGTCCTGCCCTCGGGACGGAAGAATTCCAAGTATCGTTACAAGCTGGGGAATCACATGCATAGAAAACTGGATAGACTGTCAGGCCCAATGGGTAGCGATCAACGGTTCGATATCAGGTTGATGGTCGGTTTTCTAATGCCCCAAGGATCGGTCCTAGGACCAGTTGGCTGTGTCTACACCGGCCAGTTATTCCGGAAAATCAGCCGCTTTTCCGGAATAACTTGCCAGCTGTCTACACTGGCCGCTTGAATTTCCGCAAAAGTACTGACAATCTAACGTCAAATCATCAGTGCTTTTCCGGAAAAACAATGCTGCTCGGCTGTGTCTACACTGGGCCACTTATTCCGGAAAATCAGCCGCTTTTCCGGAATAACTTGCCAGCTGTCTACACTGGCCGCTTGAATTTCCGCAAAAGTACTGACAATCTAACGTCAAATCATCAGTGCTTTTCCGGAAAAACAATGCTGCTCGGCTGTGTCTACACTGGGCCACTTATTCCGGAAAATCAGCCGCTTTTCCGGAATAACTTGCCAGCTGTCTACACTGGCCGCTTGAATTTCCGCAAAAGTACTGACAATCTAACGTCAAATCATCAGTGCTTTTCCGGAAAAACAATGCTGCTCGGCTGTGTCTACACTGGGCCACTTATTCCGGAAAATCAGCCGCTTTTCCGGAATAAGCTGCGAGCTGTCTACACGGGCCCTTGAATTTCCGGAAAAGCAACGATGCTCTACTGTACAAAATCAGCCGCT